CTGTGAGCCAAGCTGTCTACATATTTTACTGAGTTCAAGGCCAGCCTGAACTGAACACCAAGACCCTGTCTCCAAAAAAAAAGGAAGAAAATGTGGACAGCTGAGCTATATCCATGGGAGAAAAGCTTTATGCTGGATCTTTGTTTTGGTTTTTTGAGACAGGGTCTCACTATATAGTTTATGCTGTCCTTGAACTATGTGCCTAGGCTGCCTTGAACTCACCAGCAATCCTGCCTAAACTTCCCAATCCCAGCCTCTGGAATTACAGAGGTTGCCACCACACCAGGCTTGCTGGGTCTTGAAAGATGAGTAGCGTTCATTGATTATGGGCACTGTTTTAGATGCTGGGAAAAGATCAGTGTGCAAGAGTCTCAGGCCCTGCCCTCATTAAAACTAAATAGGCAGCTGGACCTGGAGCTCCATGCTTGAGGGCTCATACCACCCAAGTGACTGATGATGATGACAAGGGGGTCACGGTGATGACAGGAATTGAGGGGCATCCCTGACACAGGAGACCCTGAGCAGACAGACAGAGGGAAGTGGTCTGCTGGGAGCAAGGTAAGACCAGCTGGAGCTGCTCAGTGGAGACCACAGCAAGTATGCAGGGAAGGGACAATCACGCTGGACATGTGGGGCAAACCCCACACTATACACTACTGTCCTTCCCTTTCCGAGGAAAAGCGGGCCAGAAGCAGTGGTGAACACTTGTAGTCCCAGCAACTGGGGGCTGAAGCAGGAGAACTGCTGTGAGTTCAAGGCCAGCCTTGGGTTGGATAGTGAGTTCAAAGCCAGGCCAAAATGCAGAGACCCTGTCTCAAAACATTAAATAGATAAAATAAAACTCAAAGGGAAAGTGGAAGGTGTTTATGTTCAAACAAGAGCTCGCACCCTGCTGTGGGCCACAACTTCCTGAATCTTAGCCACTTCTGTACCCACACCAGCAGGAAAGCTCCATCCTGGGACGCAGGACAGACTTTATGAACACCGTTCTAAAGACAGAAAGAACGACAAGTAGGCAGATGCAGTGCAGTCTGAAACTACAAATCCACTTCACAAGCTGCCAGTGAGCATGCGCACAGCTCAGAAAACACAGGAGAACCCCAGCATATCCTCAGGTCTCCATGTGATGCCCTCCCTCACCCTCTGCACTGACAAACGTGTCCTTCTGAAGCCGCGTGGCAGATGATCCCCATGTTCAAGCACAGCCAGAGCAATATGGAGAGACCCCGCTTCAAAATAAAAAATAAAAAGGACAAAGGATGTAGCGCAGTGTGAAGGCCCTGGGTTTGACTCCCAACTCCCCTGTAAAAGAAAAAAAAAAAAGGTTCCCTGGGCTGGGGATGTGGCTTTAGACCTGATCCTCACCACTCCAAAAACTTTTAAATTAAAATTTTAAAAGATAAATAAAATAATGATGTGGCTTCTTCTTGGAAGGACATGCAAGGTCCCCTGAGACCCAGCAATACTTTCTTTGATGCTGGGGATGGAATCCTGCACCTCCCGCCTTAGGCAAGTTCTCTACACAAAGAGTACTCACCGGCCCAGCCCCCTCCTGAGCAGGGCCCCAGGGAACTCTGGTTCAAGAATGGGCTGGACAGCACATTCTGAGACAGCATGGAGCTGCAAACAAGAGCCTAATTCTAGGGGAAAAGATAAGATGTGGGGCAGGCACAAGGCTGTCTACCCTAGAACTACAGATACCAAGACATCAAGCCTTCTGAAGTGCTGGGCAAGATGGCTAACACCAGTAAAATTTCAGCACTCAGGAGGCTGAGGCAGGAGGACAGATGAGACCTGGAGAAAGGCCTGTGTTATATAGTGAGACCCTGCCTCAAAAGCAGATGAATAAATAACATGGAGGGATATAGCTCAATATAAGATCCTAGGTTTAAGGCCCAACACACACACACACCAAACAGGGAACATGAAAAAGAGAGGTAAACTTCAGTTGGGGTGGTCTGTGAGCACCTCTGAGGAAATGACAGTGCGTAGAGAGGGGACAGTGCACAGAGGTGACAGAGGCACACTCCCTGGCTGGGAACGGGAGGGATGAATCATCCTAGGCAGAAGGAAGAGCACAGGCCACGGCTGGAGGGCGTGCCAGCTGCGCCCGCCCGAGGAAGTGAAAGCAGCAGAGTGGCCAGGGTAGGAGCACAGGAAACACAGCGAGGAGCCGGGCGCCACTGGGGGCCCGGGGGCCGCTCAGCAGCGTTGCACAGCCCGATTCTAAGCACCCCAGACCCAGAAGGGCCTCCTGGACAGAAGCAGCACATGACTTTATTCCCAGCGGACTTCATTTTCACACTTACAATCTCAGCAATATGCTCTCATGTTTGTAACATTTACAAAAGATATTTTTGATTTTTTTTTTGAGGTTGCCCCCCCAACACTTCCTCAAACTTTAGGCCCCACATTCCCTGTCCATGTCCAAGCAGGGTCATTACAACACTAGAGAGAAACACAAGGAATGAGGGATATGGACAATCCTGTACCAAGAGCCCTCACTGTCAAAGGGCTTTGCATTTTTTGTTCTTTTCTTTTTCAGACTGGGTCTCACTAAGAAGTTCAGGATGGCCTTGGGCTCCCTTTGTAATCCAGGCTGGTCTCAAACTCACAAGGATCCTCCTGCCTCAGCCTCCCAAGTGCTGGGATTACAGGTATGTGCCAACCTTGCTCGGCCTGTCTAAAACACGTGCTGTAGTGGTTGAAGATTTAGCTCAGTGGCAGAGCACATGTGTAGCAGGCCTTGGATTTGGTCCTCAGCACCAAGAAAACAAAAACAAAAAATTGTGAAACTGTGTGATCTTATCAGAAATCATGAGGGCAACAGTTCTCACACTAGCGCCCATGCAGGGCAGCACTGCTGAGCAGCTCTCAGGAGCCTCTCCTCGTAAGGCTAGGAATCGTGGGCAACAGTCCCGATGTCCTCGGCAGCCCACGCGGAGAAGCCTCCTGCTTCCACTCGGCTGTGAGTCACTGAGGTGGGTGCAGGTGGCAAGCCAGGGAGGGCTGTTTGTCCAGAACCACCGCACACATCCACCACCGCAGACAGAAATTACCTCCCAGCATTCTCCTCACTGCTCAACTTCTACCAGTGACAAAGCCCAGCAGCCAACGTTTTTGGAAAGCTTACTATGTAATAGCTCATTTAACTGTCAAGCTACCCTAAGGAGGTGCTATCATTAGCCCTATTTTTTGTAGATAAAAAAAGAAAATCAACCTAAGCCTCAGAGACACTAAGAGACACATCCTGATCACAAAGCTACAGTAACAGCTAGGCTTCAAACCCAGCTCCACATTTCTACCACTGTTCAGGTTCTCCCAGCCCCACCACAATTTTGCTGCCAATTTTTCTCCTTACGCTTTCTCTGTTTTCTTTGGATTAAATTCCCCTCCTGGAAGAATACAGATGTCACGATTAACAGGATGACGGGTACGTAGTCAAAAGTGGCCATAAAAATCACTGAGGGATCCCCCTGTCCTGGGAGTGGATTCTGTGTCTGTTTAAGAGAGTAACTACTGTGTTGTCCACTAAGACTGAACAAATATTACAAGGCAAACCATCAAGGTAAAAAAAAAAAAAAAAAAAAACATCAAGGTACAAGTCAACATCAGGCAAAACAGCCACTATGTATGGTGCTGAGGGGCCTTGCACAGTGCACAGCCAGCTAGATGCTGGCCTGACCAGCACAAAGAGGGACAGTCCCCAAGTCCACAGGTCCAGGGTTATTCAAACCTAGGGAGGGAAGAGGTCAAAGGAATCACCAAAAGGCAGTAAGTCAAGCCTGCTCTGTTCATTTCTCAGTTGGCTTCTCAAAGCCATCAGCATACAGGGAAAGATTACAAACCCGATATGGGGGGGTGGGGGTTGTCATGCCTGTAATTCTAATACTCTGGGAAGCTGAAACAGGAGGACCCAGAAGTTTGAGCCCTGACTGAGCAATGTAGAAATTTAGCATAAATTAAATAACAGGATTGGGGGGATAGCTCAGCGATCTAAGAGTCTGCCTAGCGAGCCCCAAAACCACTAGAGAGGCTGAGACAGGAGGATCACTAGGTGTAATGAGACCCTGTACCAAAGAAACAAATAAATAAATGATTAAATAACAAAAGGCTTAAAATAAATAAATTACAAAATAAATAACAAAGGGCTATCAAGGCTCTGGGTTCGATCACCAGGACTGGAGGAAAGAAAGAAAAAAAAAAAAAAAAGCCTGATCTTTTCAGGTTATTTCTCTAACTAAGTGTCTGTCCCCTCACAGGCATGTCCCATATTTAGGACCACACGGTGCTGTGGAAACTCAGAAACCTCATAAAACAGCCTCTTGAAATTCAAGCGCTGGTTTGTGAGCAACATAGATGCCTATAGGCACCATCTCACGTGCGGTTCCCTGGTCTGGGCGCTCTCCTCCTGAGTCAGTTTAGTGCTCCTGGTCCTGCAAGAGTCCTAGGAGTCACTGGGAGGAAAGAGGTTTTGCTTTGTTGTTGGGGGTGGTTGTTTGGTTGTTTTTGTTTTTGTTTTTGAGACCTGCTATTGCTACATCGCTTAGGAGCCAATCTTGAATTCACTCCATAGCCCGGGCTGGCCTCGAACTCACAGTGATTCTCCTGCCTCAACCTCCACAACATTGAGCTGACAGTTTGTTGAATGAATGAACAAACGATGAGACGACGTGAAAAATCACTCTTCCAGCTAGAGTTCTCAGGAAAGCGGCCAAGGGCAAAGCATCCCCCAGGTCAGCAAAGGAAAAACCCCGGGAAAGTCTACCCCCAGCCGCCAGGCAGCGACCCGCTCGCGGCCCCACAGGTGTCAGGCACTGGAGGATGAGGACGCGGCCGGCGGCTGGTGGCGGCCAACTCCGCGGCCTGGACAGGGTCAAAGGCCCCGACGCGCCCTCAAGGTTTCTCAGGCAGCCCCCCCACCACGAGGGCCCTCGGGAGAAGCTGCTCGAAGCACGCAGGGGAAATCGAGGCTCGCCAGGCCTGCCCGGCCCACTCACTCGGCCGAGCTGGTCCCGTTCACCGCCGAGCCGTCGGGGGCCGGGTTCAACTGGATGGGCGTCGGCTTCTTCTTGGGCATCTTGCGCGGCGACGGCTCCTGGACCCCGAACGCGGGCGGGACGGGTGGCGGCCGAGGCCCGGGCTGTCCTCCGGGAGGTCCCGGCGGCGGTGCCCGCGGATGGCTGCACGCTCGGCCGCCCGGGCTCCTTCCCCGTCCCCTCAGACACGGGTGCTGGCTCTCGGTCGGCCTTGCTGCGCACGCTCCGCGGCACAGCCGGTTACGAAGCCGCTGCCGCCGTCGCCGCCGCCGCCGCGCTCTGGGCACTTGGCTCTGCTGTCCCGGTGGGGGACCCAGGGCGGAGGAGGGCGGGCCAGGGGAGGCCACGCCCCCACCCCTGCGGCGCTTCCCTCGCGCCGGCTCGCGGCCACCAGCCAATGGGAGAGGAGCTCGGCGGCGGATTACGCGGAAATACGTCACGAGGGCGCGGCGTGACGGCTTGGGGGCGGGGCGCAGCATGCGCTTTCTAGCGCCCTCTGCTGCCCGAGGCGCTCAAGCCGCTCAGGTGGAGGAGGTATGTGCTGGTTCTGTCGCCGTCAGCGAGCCCCCTCCTCTGCGGGATACGAGCCCCACTCTTCCCCCAGCGCCAACCAGAGTCATGCTGAGAGATACAAAAAATCAGCACAATGGCACACATATGTAATCACAAGTTCCAGATCAGCCTGGGCTTCATAGTGAGTTCAGGGCCAGCCTCCCTATTTAAGAAGACCCTATCCCCCCAAAAAAAACAAAAGTAAAATTGAGCCAGACATGGTGGCACACGCCTGTAACCCCAGCACTCGAGAGGCTGAGTTAGCAGGATCATTGCAAGTTCGAGGCCAGTCTGAACTGCATAACATGTTCCTGTCTCAAAAAAAAAAAAAAGAAAATTAAATTAACTTTTCAAAATTATATTAGCAACGTAGGGATATTTAAATTTGGTATACTTCTATATTTAGTAATACAAATAAAAACAGATTTTTGAGAATTAATTGAAAACTTTAAATTTTTTGTTGTTTTTGAGACAGGGTCTCGTTTTGTAGCTCAGGCTGACTTTGAACTCGCAGTGTAATTCACTGGCCTCAAACTCATGGCCATCCTCCTGCCTCAGCCTCCCAAGTGCCAGGATTTTAGGTATTCACCACCATGCCTGGGCTAGTTAGTAGAAATTTTAAGTTCTTAGAGCTGGAGAGATGGCTCAGTAGAATAAGTGCTTGCCTAGCAAGTGTGAGGGTCTGAATTCAGTCCCCGGTTCTGCCAAAAAAAAAAAAAAGAAAGAAAGAAAGAAAGAAAGAAAGAAAGAAAGAAAGAAAGAAAGAAAGAAAGAAAGAAAGAAAGAAAGAGAAAAGAAAAAAAGAAATTTTAAGTTCTCACTTTCACCCTGTTTTAAAAAAAAAAAAAGTGAAATTCCTTCCAAACCTGAACTGTTTGGATCCTGCTGCTGCTCGGAAGCTCAGCCTCCAATGACTTTTGCTCCTAAGCCTTCATTGTGGCCTGAGAGAGTCCAGATCAAGAGCTGGCCCAGTGATTAAAATTTTTAGAATATTTGAAGCCTGGAGAGTTCTTTTCCCTCATTTCCTTTCCAGGAAGGCAGTGATTCATCCGTTCTACCAGCTTTTCCTGAGTGGTAACACAGACGCTGACTGTCAAGACAAGCCAGCCATGTGTGTGAACCGCTGACCACAGAAGGACAAACAGCATAGCGTAAATGTCACATTGAATCAAAAGAGGTTGCTGGGTTTGTAGGTTCAAAGAGCCCCCACAAGTCCTGGTGGTGTCCACCTACAATCCCAGCAAGGCTTAGGTAGAAGGATCACAAGTTTACCACCAGCCTGGGCAATTTATCAAGGAACCCTATCTCAAAATAAAAATAAATAAGTAAAAAGCTGGGGATGTAGATCAGTGGTAGGACACCCCTACGTTCAAGCCTCAGTATTTAGAGAAAAAAGTTTAAGTGCTGGTAATTTCATGTGGTTCAGTCCATACTTTCTTTTTCTTTCTTTCTTTCTTTCTTTCTTTCTTTCTTTTTTTTTTTTTTGGTATTTTAGGAAAGGGTCTACAGGGTGTTCAGCATCTCACTACTAGATTGGACTCAGTGATCCGCCTGCTTACAGCCTCGCAAGAGCTGGGATTACAGACACGTGCCACCACGCCCAGTCTCATTCCATACTTTCACAATGTAGTTAGGCCAAAAATAGAAATAGAAATATAGGGCTGGGGATATAACTCAGTGGCACAGCGCCTGCCTGGCAGGCACAAGATCCTGAGTTCAATTCCTGGCACACACATACAAAAAAAATACAAGGGCAAGCAGTGATGAAGGCATACCTCAAGTCAGGAGTTATGGCCTATACCTGTAATCCCAGCACTCAGGTGGCCAAGGCAGGAGGATTACTGCAAATTCAAGGCCAGCCTGGACTACAAGATGTGTTTATGGCAGTCTGAACTACATAGCAAGACCCTGTCTCAAAAACAAACAAACAAAAATTTGGGAAAAGAACCAGGGATTAATTCCAGCTCTGTGCTCTATTTACTTGATGTCTCTGGACCTCTGGAGAATGCCAGGCCCCACTGCTTGGAATTGTTGTATCAAACAAAATCATGAAGGATTTCGTGAGGGTAGGGAGGGACTGACGCACACAGGAACTGAACAGTGTCGGTGCTGGTTTTTATCCCATAACCTAATCTGCTGGGAGAATAAATCACAAGGGTTTCTGGGAGACCATCTGGTTCTCAAAAGGATCCACACCCTCAAGTAAGGGACCCAGGTCTGGGAGACAGCCTTTCTGAGCAGGTTCCAAGCCCTGGGTCCAATCACGAGCATTCCCAGAAAACACACACTTTCAGGCAGAAATCCTGCTCCCTGGTATCTTTTGTAAGGAAAACAAAAGCTATGTAACAGGGGCCGACACAGTTTATTAAACTGCTCCCATCTGATGCCACCTAGATATACAACAGAAGGGAAGTGACTACATGATCTGTGACACACCCGGATGATGGAATATTGGGCAAGAAGAGGATCTCATTTCCTGTGGTTCTCCCCACCCCGTGCTGGGATTAACCCAGGGCCTTGGTCACACTAAGCAAGCACTGGGGCACTGAGCTACACCTCTAATCCCCCTATTTTCTTAAAAACAAAACAAAACAAAACAACTTGGAAGCATGATACAGTGGCATATAGTAGTATTCCAAGCACTCTGGGAGGCTGAGAGGATTGCAAGTTCAACCCCACCCTGGGCAATTTAGCAATTTACAGACACAACATTGAAAGAAGGTGGGGGTGGGCTGGGATGTAACTCAGTGTGAAAATCCTCA